CGTTCACGTAGATTCACGTCCCCGTCAAGAGGAAAGCGTCCGTACGGAGTGAACATGAAGCAGTGCTTAGGTAATGCACCATATATGGCAATGAGCCGTCCAGTATCAAGTCGGCATCCTCTCGTCACCGCCCCTCCAAGTTGCCTTCTGAGAAGTCTTAACAGTTCCCCAGTGCCATAAACAAACAGCCTTTGTGCGTTCCTTGCCGCCCTCGTCAACAACGGGTGTACTCTACGTCCGTCCTCAGGCTGTGTGTCGTCAGCGTGGATCGTCCTGATTTGCCAGATTTACTTTGTATTTTTTTGTACTTTGTGTTCCCAGCACTCCATCCCGCGGTTAAACTCGCTTTCAGGCGCCTACCTGGCTCATATGTACTCTCGTTCTATCCTATAGATGCCGTCCCGAAAAACCATTTTGGGCAGCGCTTTACTTATCCACTCTTCTTGACATCTATCAACTCCTAACCCGCCGCCATCCTGTCGTTCAGACAAGCCCGTTCGCATAATCCCATTTACCAAGTACCATCTACTACTTTTCAGGCTCCTATTTCGCCCCTGATATTTCTGATCGGCACGTTGTCGCATGTGCTCTGTGTGTGCAGCAAATCGTATTCTTCCGGTTAGCGCTGTACAAGCGCGACAATTCCGGTAAATGACCCCGATTGGCCGTGAACACTGGGTGGACCCACCTGGACTGCCATCTCTCGTTAGTCTGAGCTGGTATTGCCTATTACACAGGTCAGTACGTTAACCGTCATCGCGTCAACGTTCACCGATAAACCGGTGGTCAATTGCGCAATTGGACTCTCATACTAGGTATATTCTCTTCTCGATTGGAGTCCGAATTCAATTACTAACTTGAACGAAAGCGCTGGTAACTGCTCTCTTCCTCTGGTCCCTTGTGCGTGTCTTCTTGGTCACTTTAGTTAGTCTCACTTCAGAACAATCATCATAACGAGACCACATGCTCCGCTCTTCGTCGCAGCAGCCTTCTTGATGCGCCACTCGAGACAGCAACTTATTTACGACTATAATCCTCTAAGGAATTTCTGACATGTCAATGATGTGTATGATTGTTGTTTGCGCCCACAAAAGACTTAGTGTCCCGATCACAAAGTGGACATGCTGTCCGATCGACCAGAACACTAACTGTATTGCAGTGCAACTTGGATCGCAAAATGGAATCTTGGGGCAGGTGATACAGGTGCACATCTGCAGTCAAGTCCGATGTTAGCCGAGTGCAAAAAGCTGCTCAGAGCTCTAATAGCAGTTTTGGCGTGGCACTTTTCCACAGATGCAGTTCCGCCTTTCAAGCACACCGCTTTTATCCGTCAACACTGTCCATCTTCGTCGTTGCCAACTCAAAATTTTGTCACTGGAGAAAGCGTTAATCTCATTCGCGGATATCGATATCGGACAATCAAGTGATCATTGCAGCAGTGCTGTGACCTTGTGTTGTGCAGTGCCCAAAAATACTCTTCGCACCACGGATGGCCGGCAGCAAGTAATTATATCTATGCGCGCTATAACTAGCAGATTAGTTTGAACACAAATAATGCTGCGTCCGGATGTGTTCTGTGAGCGACTCGCTCAACTGTGACCCCATCATCATTCTACAATGAAATTTTTTGACAACGACGAGAACATTGTTCTCCCTATGATATCAAAGGTTAACTTTTGTGATTTGGTTGTTCCAGCGTTCCAGGGTATTTACGTCGCTGCAAGAGCTCACGTGGCATTTGTCATGGGAGGCCAGATGACGCCGCTGTGGGGCTGGCTCATAGCACAAACTGTTTGGTAAATCGGGACCCATACGGTGACTATGAACTTCTGAACCAGTTCCAACCCTTTTTCCAACCTCTCTTTCCTTCTCCTTTTCTACATCGAGAGCGATGTCGTCTTCAAGGCCAGACAGTGTTGCAGACCCTTTCATTACAGCCCCAAACACTCCTTTACAAGAACATGGACACCTCGAACCGCCCAGGGCGTCTTATCTAGCGTCAGACCCCGTCTCTGAGTTGTCAACGCCTCACGAATCATATGGCCACTCACCTGGAAATTCGACAGCGCTATTACCCGAAGCAGAAAAACAGGAAGAACGGCGTGCATATGCAGAAAGACAGCATGCTGGTTTCCCAAAACGTTCCATCTTCAAACGGCCTCTATTTTGGCTCGCAAGTTTGGTCGCGCTCGCTATCGTTGTCCTAGCTGTCGTCTTGCCTGTCTATTTCACCGTAGTCAAGCCACGTCAGAACAAACAAGCGTATTCGTCAGGAGGCGGAGGCAGCCCTGGAAACCCCGAATCACCTACTGGTGCCACGACTGGTGGTAATGGCTCTCTCGTTGTGACCAGTGATGGCTCAAGCTTCACATATATAAATCCTTTTGGTGGATATTGTGAGCATATATTTGTACTTTCGTTTCAGTTATTTCTTTCTTTTTCTTTCGTTCTGGAGCTGCAACTTGTCGCACCTGTTCACTTTATGGGTTCGAGTGGTTCATCTAGGTCGAATCGCCTATGTAGTTGCATACGTTGCATAGTGAGCACGGGTGAGGCGTGCGTGTGAAGGTGTATAGCTGGATGTTTCAGTTCATTATGAGACCTTTGTACATGGTTATTTCTATCAGCACATCTCCTGACGGGTATACTTTTTACGATACCAACAAGATATTGGTTCCTCTATCATTAGACCATCAGTCGTGGCTAGTTTATAACATTCGCCCGCCAATAATAGCGTGTCAATTTCTCTGGCTGATATTACACCTTTGTAGGGGTGTATAATTCCAACGATCCTTTCAATAACGGTGCCCGACCCAATTCTTGGACACCTGCCCTGAACTCGACCTGGATATGGGGAGTGGATAGGATCAACGGGTAGGCTCATTATCTGGCATTCCATGGAATGCTCTATCACGCTTTTTAGGGTCAATCTTGGTGGGCTTTTCGTTCTAGAACCGTTTATTGCACCCGCACTCTTTCAGAAGTACCCTGGTGCGGTAGATGAATGGACCCTCAGCACACTCATGGCTGCAGATACCGCTGGTGGCGGGTTGAATCAGCTAGAAGACCATTATAACACGTTCATCGTGAGTTTGCACAACATCAGTTTGGATTTTCTATTGAACCTTACATTTTCATCTGCCTTTCGCAGACTGAACAAGACATTGCGCAAATAGCTGGTGCAGGATTGAATTGGATTCGTCTACCCATTCCTTTCTGGGCCATTGATAAATGGGATTTCGAGCCATTCCTTGAGAAAGTCTGTTGGCCGTGCGTCTACCACGTTTTGATGCGAGCTGGTACCGACCCGTGGTCTTATTGTCCTTCTTTTTCCTAACCCAGATACATACTTCGTGTTCTCCAATGGGCACGTAAATACGGTCTCAGGGTCAATCTAGACTTGCATACAATCCCTGGCTCTCAAAACGGTACGTACTAGTCTGCCACTGTGCATCTGACTTGTCCTCTGCGCATCTGTCTGCGGTGATAAAGATAAAGTGGTAATGACACATTGTTCATAGGATATAATCACTCTGGTAAACTTGGCTCAGTCAATTTTCTAAATGGTGTTATGGGGCTCGCGAATGCAGAGCGTGCGCTAAACTATATCAGGATCATCACGGAATTCATCTCCCAGCCTGAGTGGCAAAACGTCGTGCCAATATTCAGCATTGTCAACGAGGCGCTTGTGTCTACTATTGGCAAGGACGAAATTACGACTTTGTATGTGTTATGTGTCATAATCTTCGCTGTGATAGTGCCCTGATAGTTTCTTGCTTTGATATTCTAGCTATCTAGAAGCGTATGATATGATTCGGAACATCACCGGCGAAGGGGCCGGTAATGGTCCATATATTGCTATCCATGATGGCTTCTTGGGTGTATCGAACTGGGCGGGGTTCCTCAGCGGCTCAGACCGCATCATGCTTGATACACACCCGTACTTTGCTTTTGATGGTCAAGCTAACACTCAGCCAATTGCCACTGGGACTGGTATCAACGCTGGCGGCATCTGGCCTAAGCAAGCATGCAATGCGTGGGGCCCGGGAATGAATACTAGGTGCGTTAGCTGTCACGTAACCATGTTTATCACGTACTTAACAATTATGTGTACAGCCAGACTGCCTTTGGGGTGACGTTCGCGGGAGAGTTTAGCAATGGGTTCAACGACTGTGGCCTCTACCTTACTGGCGTGGGAAACACAGCTAGTTATACAGGCTCGTGTACACAGTTCATGGATGCGTCCCAGTTCAACGATACTATGAAGGCTGGCTTGCAGGAATTCACATTGGCAAGTATGGACGCATTACAAAATTATTTTTTCTGGACATGGAAGGTAAGACTGTCATGCAATTAGGCCATCTCATTTGCTCATCTGCGTGTTTTCTGTAGATCGGGAATTCCTCGACTACCAACAGCGTTCAGTCGCCTTTGTGGTCGTACCAACTAGGGCTAGAACAAGGGTGGATGCCGGCAAATCCCCGCGATGCTGTTGGCTCTTGTGCAGCACTGGGTGTCTCCGAAAACCAGTTTGATGGAACCTATTCACCTTACCAAACAGGTGGTGCCGGTGCCGGAACGATTGACCCCGCTAGCATATCTTCCTATGGTCAATACCCACCATCTACCCTTTCAGGCCTTACCAGTGGAGCAGTCATGTCTCTTTTGCCCACATACACTTCCACAGGGACTGTTGTGACTCTCCCTCCACTGACTTTCTCCCCGAAACCGACGCCCTCCGTGAGCGTTGGCAATGGCTGGCATGATAGTGCAGACACGGGTGCTGGTCCTACCGAGGTTCAGGGCTGCACATATCCGAATGCGTGGAGTGCCGTCAGCGCTGCGATGCCCACGGCACTATGTCCCGCTACTGGAGTTGCCGCTCCCGTCATAACTCCTGCACCAACGTCAACACCAGCCCTCCGGTGATATCAACGTCTACTGATGTAATTGCAGGACGAAGTCACCTGTATATTCTAGAAGTTCCAATAGAAGCAGACTAATTCTTCGACGTGATTTCATTTCAAGATACTATTTATCGGCTCGGACATTTATGCACTACCCCCCCATTGGTATTATGAAGGTAAAGACGGTATACGCGATGGTAAAACGTTAACGAGATTATATCACCCTTTTATTTTTCCTTTGTTTTGAAAGATTTGATGGACCAATAGTAGGACACTTAATTTTTTTCAATTACCGTGCTTCATACTAGGCTCACTCCTTGCGACGCTAGAAAAAGCACCCTTTTCTTCTTTTCCCTTTGTTTGGTGCATGATGCTTTCGCGTTTTGATGATCTAGCACTCTCGTACGGATTGGTTTGTACCACATGCACTATTTTCTAGATTGCAATCAAAGTCTGATTGGTTTTTTCATGTTCGCTCTCGTTTCTCGTTGCCAACGATTTTTGGGCCAAAGCATGTAGTCATAAGAGTAGATGACTGGCAGGCAAACTACATCCGCGGGCTTGTCCGCCAATCAGAAGACCGCGAAGGTTCGCAAGGTATTTTGCAGATTTCTACGACGGGAAACTCACACAGCATCAGGTCATAGACATCCCGCCGTTGTATTATTATAAATTATACGTTGCACTTCCGACTATTTGCATGACAGCCTTGTCGGTAAGTCACACGTTTATTGTGCTCGCGTCGTTTTTGGAAGTTGAAATCATTACATACCTGCTGACTCATTTTTTTTTTGCTGTCACTACCCAGGAGGTTGGCCGAATGGTTAACCGCATGTATCGCATACCGTGGGCCTTGTTCAGCCTTGGGCGACCGTCTGCGTCCGGCTATAGGTCTAACCATTCCCATAGCACTGACAAAGGTGAGCATCGGAGGAACAACTTTGCGGGTGACTATAGTGTTAACGCCCAACTTGGGGATCAATTGAACCAACCGCACACGTTGCGTGGCCAGACTATTCTTTTGGGGTCACAATCACTACGCTGGAGTGTACTAATACTTCCATGTCCAGTATTACCGCCAACGATATAGATCTTTTGATGGCATGGTCCCTCGCCTCTGAATGAAGTTATTTCAACGAATTCTAGTAAGGGTTGACGCGTCGTTCTCAGGTATTGTACTAAATTATCAAGTCCGAACTCATTTCACTGTCATCCTGAATTGTCAGTATCGTCTCTCAAAATTTACGAGGGTAGCGCCCACGGTATACAGGCGCCAGAAATTCTAATTTGCGGTGCGAAAGTCTAGGCTTATCTGACCGATGGTGTCCCGCGTCGACTTTTGAGCTTGAAATGGAAATCGTTTTACTAGTCGTTATGTTCGACGACTCCAAGTGTATAGCAATCACCATATGTTCCCCCCATTGGTCAGTATATTTTTATTTACTGTCTAGCACTGTGTCCTGCTTCTTCCTCCTTACTCTAGGCTTCGCGATTGCATCTTCATCATGCATGTCTAACTCTGCAATGCTACCTGTGGCACTGGCCAGACGGCCGCCAATATCACGATGGTGTCCTTGCTATTAACCTCAGACCGTTGTTCTACTCATTCTCACCCCTTTAACGTATGTTACACGGGCGGTGGTTGCGCAGCATAACATCAATGATTACGAGGTTCAGAATTCCCTTTGCCTGATTCATCGCCAATTGTGGCGACGTGAGTGGTGGGATATCTTACCAATGGTTTGGCTTGTTCTACGGCTGATGCGACGGTCATATATATAACTGATCTTCAATCTCTCGCATTAGGCAATTATTGAAGTACCTGTACTGGAGAGGCGGAGTGCTACGTTGTCTTGATGTTTGTTTGGAGCTTTCGGAGAGTAACGAGCTCCGAAACAATATGGAAGATGTTGCACGAGGTTCAACGAAGGTTTGTACCCACGCGATCGTCCTATCAGCTAGACTCTTCTGAACCGATGTTTTGTAGTTCTGACGTCGTTTTAGCACCGGTGAATCCAAGAAGCGGCCACCATATTCTATCCCGAACTGACAGTGATCCTGCTGAGATGATGGCGTTATATTCGTCACACAAGAGTCTGGCAAACCGAGGATGCGGAAAAGGACTAGAAGAAGCTATCACCGAGCTCTCAGATCTGTTATTTACTGGATCTGTGGTCCGTATTGGCGCCCCATGCCCAATATGCCAGCAGTTTGCAACCTATCACAATGTACTTTTCGTCGATGGGCTCACCACCGGTAATAAAGTTAGTGAGTCGCTCAACAAGGTGGCTAGTTAATATGCCCCTCAGGCTGACACATATCCACGACTTATTATTTTAAGTTGTGATTTTCTTTTTTCATCGGATACTTAAATAAGTTAATCGTCAGACGGGGGGATCACATCGGTCGAGACATTCTCTGTTGCAGAGATAAATCGTCTCTGGTTTAGAATTTCCTCACCCTCATCTGCACATAATATCATCAGTAAATCGTGAAGCCATTCCATTCACCATCTATAATGCATGGAATCTAGTGTCCGTTTGCACCTAGGATACTGGGGTGGGTAACGCGTTTTCGTTCTTATTTACTATACCAAACATTCGAAATTTCTTTTGTTTAACCTAGAGGTCTGTTGCCTTTATGCACGTCCTAAATGTTAATTTTTTTCGGGGTAGATCAGGCATATCATACATCGAGGATTAATCACTTGATTAACCAGACGTATATATGGGGCCTCAAGAACGCAAACCCGTTGGGAATGAAAAACCTACGTACAGCACAAGGGAAAAAGAATCAAAGACCATCCTACTCATATCAGTATGTCGCAAGATAGTCATAAAGCACAAAGAACATTAAATGAAAGCAAAAGCAAAAAAAAAAAATGATAATACTACCTTGGGCAAAAACCTAGTACTCCACTGCATCCTCATCATCAGCCTGGGTTGGCGCGATGTCATCTTTCCGCTCTGGCTCGACAGTCTCTTTTGTCTCTTTTGATACCACGTCTGATCCATCGTCGACCTCCATGGCTGCATCAATAGTGCTTTTCTCTTCGGTAGATTTATCATCGGCCATGGCGTCTTTGTCAGGCTCTTCTTGCTTCCCGCTATCTTTTTCGCTTTTCCTACGAGCTTCTTCCTCGGCGACGCGCTGCCGCAACTGGCTTATTTCAGTGATACCTGTGGTACGCTCTTCTTTGAAAGATTCCCATTCTTTCTCTGTTGCTTCTTTAACCTGAAAGGATATCAATTACGTGGGAACGAAACCTCTTGTGAAAAGTCGTACCTCTGCTTTACGCCGGGCTAGGAAAGCTTCTTGAGCAGGAGTAAGCATGGCTGGGATGTAGTATAGAGGCGGAGGATGGGAGCGAGGTGGTGGGGAGAGAAGATTGGTGGAAGACGGAGAAGACAAGAGGTCATCAGTTGGTATAATATCGGATGTAAGCAAAAAGTTAGACAGTAGAGGAAGTCGCGTTCGGCGTTGCTTGTGCTTATGAATGTCAGTCAGTAAATGCTGGGAAATTAAAGATAAAAGCATACAATGGAGTCCTTGAGCTGCAGGTCCTCTTCCTTCCTGTTAGCCGAGGTCTTGTCCTTTTTAGCTTCTTCTGCGCGTCTGACAGAATCAGTTTCTTTTCGTAATTTAGATTGTAATCTTTGTTCTATCAATTGCCGTTTTTTGGCCTGTATAACTTTAAGGTTAGCTTCAAGTTCGGATAAAGGAGATGGACAACTGAAGCAAACTGACCGCATCGCTGGCATTTCTCTCCTTATCTTCAATCTTGGCCTTGTTCAATGTACCGAGTACAAGACCAAACATGCTTTTACCGCGTTTTCGTTCACGATCAACATTGAGGTCTATTCGTGGTCGTTTCTTGTTTCCTACCGCCATTGCTGCTGGGGCCGTCGGAGGTTCTTGCATCTTCGTGTCCTGGGTGTCAACGTTTTGAGAGGACCTGCAGAACGAAAGGTAGTGTGAGATACGACGTTAGAAATGAGACAGCAGTTAGCACTTACTCTTCTGACATTATTGCTACAAGTTGTTTCAGAAATGAGAGTGTCAGTCAAAAAGCTTGAAGACAGTTATAAAGCTCTGACAAGGAGTATACTGTTAGTACAGTATCTCGCCAGTGGAGCAACGGCCCACGAAACCGTGGCTGATGTAAGCAGTGGCGAAAACCTTGAATTCACTGTGGCAAGTCGCAACGTCGCCAACGACGAGCACGAGTTTGCATAGTTCCCTAGCAAATTTAACACATATAAAGCGAAATGGGTCCAAGTCCGAAGCTAAAACCGGGTTCTACAAATACTAGTAATCGGTCGAAGCCAGCTGCTGCGCAGAAAACAACTTCAAATCCACCAGCAAAACAGCCCATTTCACTATCTGAACGACTGAAGCGCCTATTCACATCGCTTTGTGCTCAAATAGACGGGGGTCATTTCTCTAATGCCATCAAAACATGCGATAAAAGTATGTTGATTCATTTTTGGCTTCAGCCTCACATTAACGATTTGGCTGTCAGTTCTTCGTTTAGAGCCAGAAGATAAGGACGCATCTCAAACTAAATTGTTCCTTCTCTTGCAGACAGAGCAATATGGCACTGCGTTATCTCTGGTCAATACAGACCATAGTGATTCTAAGTATGCCTTCGAGCGTGCATATGCTATGTATCGCCTTCAACACGAACCTGAAGCAGCAAGTGTATTGGATGATATCAAAAAGGCGAAGACGGGAGAACGGGGAGTTTTGCATCTAGAAGCACAGTTGGTACGACCCTTGCATAGCTATATTCCGATACGCCTTCTGAACGGGCATGTTTTCAGAATTACAGACAGGGCTCCTATCAAACTGCTCTCGATCTATATGGTGAACTTCTGGAAACAGCAGAGTCTGTAGGTCGCCGATGACCTATCCTTGCGATTTTAACGCGTTGACCGGTTCTTTCACAGCAATCAGAAGAATATTCTGACATCCTCACTAACCTTGATGCGTCGCAGAAGCACCTCGATTTCATAAACAAAGGATTCCTGCAAGCACTCGATGCATTGCCCGCTTCACTTACTGCTGCGTTGGAGATATCGCCACCGCCTTTACAAGCGACAACGTCTGCTGCGACTGCACTGGCTATACCCGCAGTGGACGTTGGAAGTCAGCCCGAAGACGAATCTATCAGAAAGATCAAGAAAGTGAGGATGTCGCGTGTTCCAAAGGGAGTGGTCCCGGGTGTGACGCCTCCTCCTGACCCAGAGAGGTGGCTAAAGAAGAGCGAAAGGTCGACGTTTGGGCAGGGAAATAGGAAAAGGAAGGGGGGTGGGGCGACTCAGGGTAGTGTTGCAGACAGCGCCCCTGCAATTAATATTAATCATGGGGCGAAATCTTCAAGTGGAGGCCATAGCAAAGGAAAGAAAAGGAAGTAGGAATGGAGTAAAGTAAATGAGTTTCGCTTCCCGCAGGACCCATGCTTACTATTCATTGTGAAGACGTAATCTGTAGTTGCAGCGGCCAAATCATACATCCTGATTACCCTTGTCTATCAGCAATTATCTAATCGGACATGCGTCAACGTCGTGCTGTCTCGTGATTGACATCAGACTACTGCACACGTGTTCTGCAAGCTTTCAGGTGATCTTGTCTTCCAACCTCAATCGCAACGGACCCTTAAGCTAGTAATCTCCTGGTATTTTGTTTCCGCCAAGGTCTCAAAATACTACTTGATCACCGCGGCTTCCATCAAGGCATTCAAGACGGTTCATACTCAAAACGTTCCTCTCCTGGTGTTCCGCTTTCCTGTTTAGGATCAGAAGCATCTCGGTCCTCCTGAAAGCGGTAGACCTGCAATTCTAGTCGTGTTTGCAGCAAGGCGTTCACGGGCTTCATGATGTTTTCGTTATGCCCTGGAGTTCCTCCCATCACATTCTGTCGGTATGCCTGGCATGTGGGTGGGTGTCCCTTGGGCACTCGATTTATGTGATTGCTCTTCAACATGCCACTTTGTACTGGCCAATCAGGTGACGCTTAGATAGTTGTTTTCTCGTTAGCGAACATCTGGACACCGATCCATGAAAACACTGAGGTTACCTTGAGACTTGGTTATTGCTGCTTCTACGATTTACAGGTGATTTGATCTCTCCGTCCCAGCAGGTTCTTAGCTCCGACGCTATGCGCATAGGCTTGTTCGAATCTCCACTCATTTTGCGGTAGCACAGAATTCCACCTGGACAGCCTCACGTTAGCAGGCCCTCCTCCATAATGTGACAAGTCGAAACGTGTATCTCGTCCAGTCCCTAACTCGGCTCGTAGCCCTCGCAAATGCGCTACATCCTCTCCGCTTCAAACACGCCTTCATCACGCGAGTTGCTTGTTGGCTCCGTTAGAGGGAGGATATAAAGCAGGACCTGGTGCTCACTGAATTACAAAACAGTCTTCCTCCTCTAAAAATCCTCAACACCCTTCCCAATATCCCAATATCAATAGACATGTCTGAAGTTCTCGGTGTTATCGTCCTTGCCCGCAACGGTGACCGTACGGCCTACTATCAAGACCCGAAGAACTATGAGGCGTCTTACACGGAGACGACTGCTCTCGGTGCTGTAAGTAGCTTTGTGGCGCTGGTGGACGACTAGTTGCTTACCATTACCCAATTCAGGCCGAGTCTCACCAGCTTGGCTCTTTCCTGCGCTCAGTTTACTTGAGCAGCTCTTCTCCTTCGTACATCGAGGGCATGCAAACTGATCTCGTTGATAACCACGAGGTTCATGTCCACGTTAAAGCCGGTGGAGAAGGAACTGTTATCTTCGATTCAGCCATTGCCCTTCTTCAGGGCTTGTTCCCCCCCAACCCTCTGAACAAGATCGATCTTGCTAACGAGACCACCGTCATTGCACCTTTGGGTGGATACCAATATGTCCCCGGTAATATATTCTGAGCTAAATTAGCTGAGAGTCAGATCTGACAGATTTTCACAGTTGAAACCGTAGAGCCTGGTAACGATCGTTCGCTCGAACCTTGGACTAACTGTCCTGTAAGTACTTTAAGTACATGACTTTGTTATTTCGACTAAATTAACATTTTATTAAGGCTTTCGAGCAACATATCGCAGATTTCTATGCTTCGGAAGAGTTCAGGAGCACTTCCAAGGCTGCTGGTACTTTCTTCGGCGCTGTCAGAGATTTCACTTTCGGTCGACCTACTACTTTAGAGAATGCCGTACGTCCTTTATGTCTTACAAAAAAACATTGGCTAACTCCCAATCCTGCAACTATAGTGGAACGTATGTGACTTCATCTGTATGAATATTACTGACGACATAGCTGACATCAATCGTAATAGATCTACGACTACGTCAACACTGAGCTTATTCACAACAAAACCTATGCCTTCCGTCTCCCCCCCACTCTCATTGACCAGGCTCGAGGTTTTGCGGACTTCCACGAGAACGGTGTCTTCTCTGACAAGGAGCCCGGAGGAATTGGCAACAGTTCGTCCTCTACATATTACTGACTCCCCAGTCTGATGCATGATTAATAGTTGCTGGTCGTACAATTCTCCACTCCATTCTCAGCTCTCTTCAACGTGTTGCATTCAACGGAGACCCCCTTCAATTTGAGTTGATCGAAACCAGTTACCAGCCTTTCATTTCTCTCTTCCACATGACTGAAATGGTCAAGGAAAACCCCGAGCTTGCTGGAATCCGTGAGCAAGCTTCACTTATTTCATATTTTGTTTCACTTTACTGAGCGTCCTATGATCTCAGCCAATTACGCCTCTGCCCTCGCCTTTGAACTCCGCCGTGGACCCGCCCCTGACAGCCGTGATTTCCTGAGGATCAAATTTAAGAACGGTACTTATGACAACTTCCAGACTTACCACGTCTTTGGCCACAAGTCGGATATCGCCCTCACTGAATTCATCTACAGGATCGAGGTATGCGATTTTTTCGAATATTATAAGTAGGTCTATTCTCATACGCAACCATAGAACTACGCCATCACTAGTCAGAGACAATGGGCAGCAGTTTGCAACTCTGAATCGGCTGACGACTTCATGGGAACCAGCAGCTACGGTGCCCGCACTGCTTTGGCCGGCGTCCTCGCTGCAGTCCTTCTTCTTGGCGCCTTCGTCGTCAACAAGTTCGTCAAGCGCTCCTGCCGTGCTAAGACTCAGATCCGCTTACAGGGTGACGAGGTGAGTGACGGCCACAGAAATTATGGGGCTATTCCGAACGTCAGCTTTGAACACTGGGCTCATGCTTGGATATGAATAATTCTGACTTTCATTTCTTTTTCCTTCTTCGCAGAATGCTCCGGCCAACGTGATGACCGAGAAGGGTAGGCTGCCGTTGTAAGGTTGTGCAGATAGTTTTCGTAAAACAATTTTTTTTCTTCAATGTTCATATCTCTGCATTGTCTCTGGTATTAGGTCATTCTTGGACTGTAGACGTACATTTTCTGTTTTCTCCATGATTTTATGACTCCGCATGTATTACGACTTATTCTGGGCCAGGCGCTCCTGCATCATATACATCTTGTTTTTCCCTTGTTGACTTGGACCTTGATCTTTGCATCAAAAAGCGAGGTCTAGTTTGAATAGATAAGATCCAACCAAGCTGGGCTTTAACGAAGAGACGCGAAAACAAAAAAACTTTTACCAACGTTTTTCTTGGCAACAGCAAAAAAACATATTCGTTCGCGCGGAGCTCATTGATGGCTCGTTTCGAGCAGTATACCTCTGAGAAGAGGAAAGCATTGCTGGACGATCAGTACTAGGGGCTTACACGGGTCTCACAAGGCTTTATGTTTGACACAACGGCCCAACGAGGTAGACACTTGGTCCAACCACATAATAAAGCGACGTCTGATTGTAATTAATTACAGAAGTGACAGTGACTTACTTGAGTTATATTATCAACCACAGTCATAATGTTCAACACTGCTGCTGCATCAGTGATCCAACAGTTCATTTATATCGGGCCCTACGCAGATCTGGTGTAGGAAGATGAGGCATTAATGAATAGAGAAAATTACGATCCAGTATATACCTTAGACATTTCCGTACAAACGCTCCAGTGAAGAAGAATTGACGAAAGTTGTCATTGGCGCGTGGATCAGAGCCCTTAGTGTGAACCGGGAACGTGGAATTGACTACACACATGTGGTGGCCAAGCAAGGCGTTGGGACTAGGTGGCTAGACCTCAATGTAAGGGTAACGAGATTCAGATGGTGTACTTGGAGATCAAGGGAGGCGATAACAGAACTGTTCTCTGCTGGGTAAACGACACGTATTGACGTGAGAGACCACTATACGGATAATGACAGTGATTACAGATCCTAGAGAGGCCGTCGAGGAAGATCATGCAGCGACTCAAATCATGTATGGGTATTCGTAGAAACGATTCAAATTTTCCGAAATTTCCTGATCTGTCAATTGCATTGTATTAACTTAGCCTAAAACTCGAGTATGATACCTTCGTCGCACAGATCAAGTACGAGCATAGGGAGGTGCGAGAGGGATGTATCTAAAATGTAGGGCTTTTGCAATCCTAGCAATACGCAATACTAATTCGAATTCACCTATAAGTCTTAATTGTTATGAAACATCGTATCCATGTTTATTCGCAGGGGTTACTCTGGCACTCCTTCGCTGCTCCCTTTCGAGCGCGGCCATATCCTTGTACCAGTTGGAATTACGAGGAGAGCCTTGCTTGATAAATGGAACTGTTGGTTTACGCAAAGGCCCTATTCGATCCAATGGCCAAACGATGTAGATCAATATGGAGTCTAGTAGACCAATAGGGACCTGTAAGTTTTCAAGCAGATTTACTCGGATCAGCCCTACCGCAAGGCAACGGCACCCTTCATCAAAAACTCACGGGTCCAAATCTATTGCTGTCTAGAGTGCGAAAAGGTTCGTCACCTATAGAAACTGGTGAGTACTGCAAAGAACTTAGAGCCAGTGGTCCAACCTTCTATCCAAACATGTCCAGCGGGTACACAAACTTCTTTATCGGGATACGGAGGCAGAGTCTTTACCATGTCACCCTGAGTAGCGACTATCCGCTTCACCAGCATCTTCTTGGGGTTGAAAGGGTCTCTAAACAGGCGGGAAAGAGGACATAAGCTACAGCATGACAAGTGAGTGGTTCAAAAGTGCACCTCAGCGCCACCACGTCGCCCCTTTGGACAGATCCTCCCAAAAACAGGGATAGACGGTCAAAAACTACGATGTCCTTCCATTGAGATACATCCGGATTCAGGGTTGGCTAACTAGCAGAAAAAGATATCGTGAATAGAAGATAGGTCGTCAGCTAACATGAACGGACCTGCATACTTCGTCCGTTGACCGTTTTAATGGTGTACAAGTAATTAGTGAACGCTAAACCGATCGGCATCCAGTAAATGGCAGCCAGTGAACGTTTAAGGAGCGGTTTTTCATCGAGCCATCGAGATCGAAACGAGGGAAAAGGTAGCCTCAGGAGTTTTAGCCTGTTGAACCACATTTACAGTAAAAAACCAGGGAAATGGGACGATGGGATGATGGTCACACATACATAGACTAGATCACATGACCTCAATTGCAAGCCGGGGTAAAGCAACTTGACAAATGGCCATTGGCCTAGGACAGAACGTCTGTGTTGCACAAGGATAAGTCGCGGTTCTTATAAGCGTGAGATGACCGATTAATAAGTTAGTGAAATGTGTAGGATACTACTGATGCTTTATTCTAACCATTCAAAATTTGATGTCCCAAATCCCTAAGTCACAGCCCATTGAAGAAGGTGGCTGCTGCTGGGAACCTGAGGTGGCCCTTGGTGGCCGCCCTCGTTAGAGTCATCCATGCATCACCCCGAAATCTGCCCGCTCATTGCGGTCTCGTGCAGTAAAGCGTGTTCAGCAGAAACTATTGAGCAGAATTTCTCAGGGAAGCTACAATGCGTTTATTCCCGTCTAGGTCATCCGAATTATTTTCGAGCTTCAAAATCTGACATGCCCACCATCGCGGTGGAATGCGCTCGCTATTCTCTCACAAGATGTAGTCACAGGACCTGATAAAATCAAATAATAAACCGTCGGAATACACACCGCATAGTCTGTGAAATCAGTTGGCTGGAAGCTTATAAGGTGACCGAATTCAATAAATTTGACTCCAGCAGGTTTCTTGTCAGAGTGCCAGTGATGGCGATTTCAAGTATGAAGCTAGCTTTGGCCCATCTGGTGCTACTAGGATGCCTCGTAGCAGCTACTCCTACACCAGACATAATTGGATCTGATCTCGCATTTCTCTTCCAAAATGATCTGAACTGTACGTGTCTACTCCTTTTACAATTATGGTCTGTATCTTATCTACATAGGGCCTGCTGCTCCCGACCATAGCGGCACCATTCTTGTCAGTAAACCTCTCGCAAATGATCGAGCTCTCGCGGCATGTAATCAGCTCGCTGAAAGCTTTCTACCCACCAATGGAACGTATTTCGCTTCTGATATTACCAACATCCTTCAGTATCTTGCACTTGAGGACGCTAACCCAGGCCAGCAATATTGGGTCGCTTCTGGCTCCGCCACGGAGTGCCTTTCAATTTCAGAGTCTGGAAAAATATCTGTGGACTGCGATGAAAAACTTCCTGCATTCTGTTCGCAAAGCGCGCCATACCGGCCAAACACTGACACAGACCTTAGTCCTGATTATTACATCCAAGTGAATTCTGGAAGTCTGGAAGTATTAGGGTACGTTGACGCTAGATGAACAATTGCATGCTAACCAGCGCATTGACTCTTTCTAACCTAACAGCACTCGAGATCACCTCTCATTCCGGTTCATTGGCATACCCTACGCGGATCCATTTGAACGTTTCACATACTCTTCTGTTTACAGCAGCCCTGGGAACCTCACTGCGCTCGAGTATGGTTCACCTTGCGTGCAGATTAATTATGGGAGCGAAGATTGTTTGTTCCTCAATGTGTACACACCTTACCTTCCAGCGTTTCCAATCAACCCCGAGAGGCTCAAACCGGTCATGTTCTGGATCCATGGTGGTGCCTTCACTAGTGGTGAAGGAAGTGATTCAATATTCGATGGTGGTAACATAGTAAGTAGAGGAGATGTTGTCGTTGTTACTATCAATTATCGGTAATCTCATTTTAGAGATCTTCTTGTCATCGAGCTGATTGTTCGCCATAGCTTGAGTACTCTTGGTTTCTTGGCCCTAGAGGACGGTGTTACAAATGGAAACTTCGGTCTCGCAGATCAGGTTTGTGATCTGGCGCTATTGTCCACCTAATTTATGCTCCTGACGCAATAACTATAGATTACGGCTCTCAAATGGGTCAATGAGCACATCGCTGACTTCGGAGGTGACCCGCTACGTGTCACTATATTTGGCCAGTCAGCTGGTGCAGGTTCTGTTCGAGCCTTACTCATGGCTCCGCCTGCTTTTGGACTCTTCGCTGGTGCGATTGCTGAAAGCAACTTGGATGGTTTTGGTTATGCTAGCACCTATTCAAACTACTACAGTATTGCTGAAGAAGCTTACATCGCTGCCGACCCGTTGACTGCGTATGTCAACTGTACAAATAGCTCGGATGTTTTAGCTTGTTTAAGAGGCATAGATGCACAGACTTTGGTGGAGGCACCATCAGCACCGAGGTATGTCGTTTCAATCAGATTCTTGATTTTGCATTGAGTACTTCGGCAGATACATCGTTGTAGATGGTACATATATTACCACCAATCAACTAGAGCTCAATGGTTCGGGGCTTACTGCGAAGGCTCACGTCATCTTTGGTTGGATGGCAGATGATGGTGCCGATTTTATTGGCGCATATCCAACTATGAACACTACAGTAGACGACTCCATCCAGGACCTTGGGTTTGTTTACACAATTTCTATAGGTTATGGATTAACAGATACTGTTGTAGGATTAGTGCAAACCTCACTGAGATGATCATGTCTTCAGGTCTATTTCCTGTCCCTTTTAGTGATAACTACACATTGGATGTATTCAATGTTACCAGCCATGTAGCTACTGATGGAGAATTTCGGTACGTCCTACGCACATGTTAGAGAAGAAGTGGATTACTCACTCATAACTTAAAGCTGCCTGGATCAAGCTACCGTATTAGCATCAGCTAAAAAGAAGATATTTGAATCTACTTGGACTTATCAATTCGATAAGAGCTATGGAGGATACGAGCCATTCCCTGAAGTGTGTGACCCACCCGTTACCCCGGATTATCCTTACGGCGATCCCAACTTGCCATATTTCCGGTGCGATATTTCACCTACCGATTTCCCCTGGCCTATCTTTCTAAGTCACGCGAGCTAGATGCCATTCAGGAGATCTTTACTTTGTGTTTGGAACACTTGGCCAATCCGCATCTCCCTTCCGCGACTGGAATGACCTTTATTTTAGTCAAGTGACGGTTGATAGCTGGACTGCGTTTGCTCGTTCTTACAATCCAAACCCGTCTCCGCAATATCTTGCCGCTAGAGGTTATGCTAACACGAGCGATGCACTATCGAAGTATGGCTTATGGGAGGAAGTAACAACCACAAACCCTACACCACTGAGGATATTGGACATACCGTTACAACAGGTGCCATTCCTAGAGCAGGAGCAGTGCGATCTGCTTGGCTATACCCTCCCTTATTACGAGTAATTGATCGCAAATCTGTTATGACATCATACGGTGGTTTTTTGTATAGTTTTTTGTGCTATAGTGTTCAAATCACGTTTGAGAGTTTAGTTCCAGTCCTGAACCGGAACCGTGACGGTGCCGCCGATAGTAACCGAAATTTGTTTTTCACCTCCGCGAAGCCGAGAGCCGTGAACCGACTTGGGTTCAATGATCGAATCTCTTTCAACATATGTAACTACCCTAAGGCCCAGAGACTACATAGAGTCTAAACGTGGTTCTGATACAGTCGCATGGATTGCGCTGGCAGCTACGATCAGGATTCCACACCAGATGGAGCGAAAATATACTGCAAATGGTTGGTCCGAGTTAGAATGCCATGAAACTTTGAACTCGAACCTGCCTCTCATAAGCATAATTTATCTCCTATCGTCTTATTGCAGTACAACACCTGCTCTCTGACCTTATCCTCTCTATCGTTGAAGGAGATCTAGCATGCGTACTACGGGCTATGCTGCACTTCTTTGCTGGTTTATTTCGAGCGCAGTCTCCCTCTATACCAAGAAAGGCTCGTTTATTGGGTCAGATTTCTTGACTGCTTTCGAATGGGATACATTCGATGATCCCACTCACGGACGGGTCAACTATGTTGACCAACAAACTGCCTTGTCAAAAAATCTGACGATTGGTATGTGACCCTTGATTTTTCGTATATGACTGCTGATTGTGGTTCGACTTCAAAGCCTCTGAGGGAAAATTCATTATGCGTGCGGACTACACCGACATTGTGATAAGTGGCTCTCGCGGACGTGACAGCATACGCATTCATTCCAAAAACGCATACGATGACGCCATTTTTATACTTGACCTTTCGCACATGCCAGAGGGCTGCGCTACTTGGCCTGCTTTTTGGACTCTCAGCCAGCTGGGTCCTTGGCCAAATGGTGGTGAGATTGATATTATCGAAGGCGTGAATCTACAGAACCACAATCTCGCATCGATGCACACGACACCGAACTGTACGATGTCCAACCCCTCGTTAATCCAGCCAGACCTAGGGATACTTTCGCAACAGACAGGGTGAGTGTCCTCTGAGACCTATTACTGCATCTACTAAACTTTTGCCTCGTGCAGGACAATGCAATCCACAGATTGTAATGCAGCTGTCAACAATAATCAAGGTTGCGGAGTTTCCTTCAGTGACTCGTACGCACTTGGCACCGATTCGTCATACGGCTCAGGCTTCAATCTGCTGGGTGGTGGGTGGTATGCTATGCAAAAGGATCCAGAGGCTGGTATAAATGTCTGGTTCTGGCCAAGGAACGACATTTCTGTCCCGGTGGACGTCAGGGACTCCACAGTACCGTTTGTCGGACCAACAACCTGGGGTTCTCCCCAGGCACGGTTTCAGACAGGGCAGTACTGTGACTATGAAACACATTTCGACGCTCACGAAATTGTCTTTGATTTGACTTTTTGTGTGAGTTACGAATTTCAAGGTTGTGCTGTCGTCTGGCATCATCTTATTGTTAAAGGGACCATTTACAGGGTGACTGGGCAGGCTCAGTGTTTCCTAGTTCTGGCTGCAGCCCCATGTCATGTGCAGACTGTAAGTACACCGTAATCACTGATGCCCGTAGAACTAACTCATGAACTTTGATAGTCGTGGATCAAAATCCTTCAGCATTCACTAACGCGTACTGGGAAATCAATTCCCTGATTATTTATACAAAGGACACCTCATCATAGCGAATGTGGGTCACCATTATATGCAGGCAGTCACTCATTTCTCATAGATTGTAGAAGAATATAGCGAAAATATTTTTTGACTACAATCTAGTTTTGTACGGTAACAAAAAATATCATGTTCGGTTTATTGCATTCTCTAACCGCAAGATTCCTTCAGATTCGGCTATTTTCGCGCAAGGCTGGCTTGTTGGAATGGCAAAAACGACGCATCTTTTGTCACACACGGAACGGAGCGTTTCGGGATATACTATTGATGAATGATAGGTGTCTTAGGTTGATATTAAGTCATAGGCACTGTTTCCATCTTTAGCAATGTTGATTATTTGAAAGATAAGGTTAGTAGTTATAATCAATAGTTAAGGTGGCGATCGAACGAGGTTAAGAGGCCACCGAGCGGCCGAAGGTCGCGAGGTGGTGGTAGCTGTCGAGAAGAAGAAGTAGCGATGATGACCAGATTACCCCCCACTAAGGAGAGAGGGCTAGGTAATTTCGCAAGATGCTCTTCAGTGGTCAGAGTCTTCTCTTTATATAGCAAACTGGCAGGCAACGCCGTGCGGCAGTGCGTGAAGCACTCGAGTCTTTCTCGAGGTAGTTCCATGTGTTACAAGGGCCGGACCGGCCTATCCATCCACCGGGCCCTGCTCCGTAGGAGAGGACGTCAGTTTCCGGATTGTCGGACCCGCATCCGGACCGGGTACCACATGTTACCATCGCTTATCAGCCAATGATTGCGCCCCTTATTGTTCAAATGCCGAGGCGATCTGATGACAGCGTGGGAGTCGGCCCACGTTATTCTTAGGAACAAAGACGATTCCAAAGAAGATCCTATTGTAATAACGACAGCGTGAGAGTGACCAATCAGAGACGAATGATAAGGTCCCATGAGCACAGTTATCCCCCCTGAATCGATAAGATAACGATTAGGGTTTGTGGTTAATCCCACGTTAATGTCCGGGTAGGACAATAATAACGTTCGGTCATGTGTCCCCCTGCGTAAGCAGGATGATGTTATTCACCGTAAAGGTCCGGAGGGCATACGTCCCGGGCCATAACACATAAGCAGGTTCCAGACCAAAGTCCGGATTGGTATCTCAACCATGTGTTAGACACGTGGTTAGCTGTTAGGTTAAGGTTAAGGTTAAGGTTAACCTTAAGGTTAAGGTTAAGGTTAAGGTTAAGGTTAAGGTTAAGGTTAGGTTAAGTTAGGTTAAGGTTAAGGTTAAGGTTAAGGTTAAGGTTAAGGTTAAGGTTAAGGTTAAGGTTAAGTTAAGGTTAAGGTTAAAGGTTAAGGTTAGGTTAAGGTTAAGGTTAGGTTAAGGTTAAGGTTAAGGTTAAGGTTAAGGTTAAGGTTAAGGTTAAGGTTAAGGTTAAGGTTAAGGTTAAGGTTAAGGGTTCGGACTGGTGTATCGAATCGTATATACTCAAAAGGTTT